ATGGTTACAGTTTACATTAATTACTCTGTACCTGTACAAACATCACGGGAGTCACGATTACTTATTCGACGAGAACTCATTCCAGAGTAACGTAGAATAGCTCAACGGTTGTCGACCTCTTTTCGTTTTATTTTTCGTTGATCTATTATTACTTGCTATTATTATAAATAATTATCTATGAGATAATCGTTAGTACAGCCCAGCTTTGTAGTGTTAAGTTAGAACGTTTTGCATGCATTTGGTTAACTTTGTGAGTTGAAAGCTTTTTCTTGCACTTGTTTTTGTTTCGTATGGGAATATAATATTATTATGCAGTATATTTTTATGTGTATCGTGTTTATAATATCCAAAGCGATCGTTTCATTGGAATCGAATTAAAATAGATTAATGTAATGTCATTTGATGAGAAATATGTATATTCTATGCAAAAAAATCAGCTGCATAATTTTGATCTACTAAAAAGTTTTATATTATTTCAATATATTTTTGGCATTTCCACTATTAAGATTATGTATTTGTGGTCACCGTCGTCCAGAAAAGTTCGGTCTATTTAATGTCGTTTCTTAATTGCGCATTCATAATAATCCTTTACGTATTTTCTTTAACCTAAATTTAAAGAAGATAAAATTAGATTTGTTTTAAATTCAAGTTTTTAATTATTATAATTCGTGTTACTTTTCAAACTATTTCAAAGTACAATTGGTAATATATGTTCATTAGAGAATATGTTCGAATAGTTAATTAAATTCATTATAAGCACGATAATGGATATGAATTTAATGTTAAGTATTCAATTTATTTTTATAAATATATAAGTTATAATGATAGGCCTATACAAGACCGGTTCACGCAACTAGTTGACCAGTTTAATAATCCAAGTATAAAAAGGTTTTTCACTTCGTCAATAAAGTATTGTACGGATTCTTATACGTATGTATGTACCTATGTACACAAATAATGACATTCTTAATGATTTAACTATGATTTTGAGATTCATCTATCTTTAATCATTTTCTTATTTATTTTTTAATTATTTTTTTTAATCTGAAGTAATAAACTATTCAAATAAATAATTATATATTTTTTAGTTTAAATAGATTTAATATTTTCAAATCCTTTCAAAAAATTAAAGTAAGTTTTAAATATAGGTACTTGAATTTTATTATCACATATATTCTTTATAATTACAAACTATATTTTTTATATTTAATATTGAAGAAACAGCCAAAAACCGAAGGTACCTATATACTCGTATATATATACCTTATATAATGTATTATATTTTCGTTAGATTACTACCTTCTATTTAATACGTTTTCCGTACTATATATCTATATGGTTCTCATGACGAGTTAATTATTAGGTAAAATTTATATTCTTAATTCAAGAACAATATTTTTATTTCTATTACGGCTATAAACAATATACTTAAACGTAGATAATAGTATTACATAGCCGTAAAAATACTTCAAATCGTATAAAAGGTTCTGAAAAATTTAAAAATGAAAATATCCATAACACAATTGTCAGTGTAAATATTATCATTCTATTTTCTTAAGTATTAAATCAAACAGAGAAGAGTAGACTTGCACACTTATTTTTACGGCTATTCCGGCGACAGTGGTGTACTCCTCGAATTGTTCCACATCTTTGTGCTCTTAGTAAATAAACAGATATAAAATGAAATAGTGGTAGATATATATATGATTGAGTAAATGCACTTAAAAGACCGGTCAACCGTTAATGGGATATTTTACGAACATGCACCTACACCCCATTATTATATTTCCCTATGGGAAACTCGCTTTACAAATAATATGGACTGTAGTATGCGTAAGAGCACATTTTGAAAAATCGTTACTCGTTAAAACTATATAACCGATATGATGTTTAATTTGATTTTCATTGAAGTCGAAAAAAAAAGCGTGAACACGACATGTGCGGTAGAATATGTTAATATACTGTGTGTGTACACTTGTGTTTATGCAATACTTACGAATAATTGTTAGTTTGAATTACGCAATTTATTTGAAATTATAAAATGATAATGTAAAGCAAACGCCTTGCGATCACTGCTAATGAATAAACATAGTGTAAATTGTTATTTCGTCGGACTGCAATGTAAACAAATCCGTTTGGACGAAACGATCGTGCGTCCGTTATTACATGAAATGTAACGTATCCCAGATAGGCTTTCGAAGCAGCGTCTGATCGACTGACAGTATATATTATTATATCGTAGGCAGAGATGCGGTACACAGTACATGAGAGAATTCGAACTTCCTATTCAAAACCTTGGACAGTGTCCAAAAATTTCTTTTATAATCCTTATTTGACGCGGAGAAAAAAATGAATAGAAAACGAGTTTGAACTGCATATTTACACAATGCCCGCGTTGCACGTGGTGGGTTTTCTTCGGCCTTGACAATGAATGTTGCAAAATATTGGCATGCTCACCGCATTGAAACTGAATTGATTTACCGCACTGGCCAAGAAGTCATGACATTCTCCGGGAACAGCTACTTCAGATTCGTTTTTGTTGTACGCGTTATATGGTTGACAGTACGCCGTGGTTCTTGTTCAAATAATATCCACGAATAGACACTGGTGGTAGTCTTGCATCCGACGTGTGCTATTTTCTTTTATTCGCATTATGTGATTCGTTCTGTGACGTTTCTTCTCTATGGTTTTCAAAATTTTTTTTTTTTTTTACTGTTACGCAATACTACGATCATAACCTAACCTACAATATCGGTGAAGCAAGTAATCTACAGACGAGATGATGGTGGTGACTTGGTTTGACGTTTCCGAAATGTTGAAATGCTACGTACTATACTACGTAGGTATTATAAGTGGGTAGTAGATACACGAGAAACATTGATTCAGGACTTTTATTATTTTTCAAACCATATTCAACTTGTAAAACGTTTTTTTCGCGTTATTAATTGGGGCAGTTTGATAGTTATTTGATATATTATACAGGTATATATATCAAGTAATAGTACATTTGATTTATATTTTTATTCATTAATTTCAAATAAAAATAATATTAACTGATATGGTATAACACCAACATTTCTTTTAAAAATTAACTCTCAACTAATTCCCTTTGTAAAATGTTTGATTTTATTTCATAATAAAAAATATATAAACGTAATTTTTTTTTTTTTGCAAATTATTTAATACATGGCCAATTTTAATATAAATATACATTTTTTTTCCTGACAAAAAACATAAATTAATCATGACCTCCATGAGTCCAACTAGAGCTCAATTAGCTAGTGGGTTTATTTTAAAATATTAAGTGTGAATAATAATCAATGTAAAACATTGAACTTTCGTAATGTTTTAAAATATAAAACACATACACGTTAAAAATAATAATAATATATTTATTTTTCAACTATAGTTTCACAATATTGGTAATGATATAATTAAAATTAATGTAGTGTCACTTCCAAGCCACTGACTGTAAGCAAGTGAATGTTCATAATATAGTATTATATCAATATAATTATAAGTTGAACATTTGTGAATAAAGTTTTGAAATAAAAATGTGATGTAATTCATAAAGAATCTAGATTTCTTGGACTTCGGATGTCCGATTTCAATTATATAAACTCCAAATATTCAAGGCTGGGCATTAACGAGTTAAAAGTTAAAATTAAGTTAATTTTAATTAAGTTAGTTAACTCGTTACTTTTTTTACAAATTAACTTTTAACTTAATAAGTTACTTTTTTTTTAAGATTAACATGTTAACTTTAAGTTAATTTTATTTAAAAGTATCTAAATTAAGTTAATTTTAGTGCAAAGAATAATGCAAATTACTAACCCGTCGCTGGTCACGTAATTATTTTTCTACATTTGGTCATTTGAAATAAAGGTTCAATCGTGCGGGGTAAATTTCTCCAAACAGATAAATTTTTCTTTCCACGGGTGTGTACAACAAACCAAACTAGTTTTCAATGAAATAAATGCCATTATCGAATAATGGTGTGATTTTGATGAGTTAATCAGAATTACAAATCCTTTTTGCAGATAATGAAGTGGATACACATATTTATTAATAAACTGGGAGATTATTTACCCTGCGCAACCAGTGACGGGTTAAATGAGGTTTTTAATATATTTATAATTTACTATTTTAATATGAATTTCCTCTAGACAAAAATAATATAAAAAATAACTTTAATAGTCTTTATATGGGCTATATTTTATAATTATTTTTTTATAACATTGTTATTTTATAAACATTATAAACCCATGGAAATCCTAAGAATATTTTGTGAAAATAGTAAATACCATGATACCGGGTTTACACGATGTGCAGTACTTGTCATTAGTACTTGTTCTCGCACTTGTCACCATTTTTGGTGAGCTACCTTAAGATAATATTTGTCTATGTGTAATATTTTTGATTTATTTATACTCATCAATCGCAAATGCAAAATTAATATAGTTGATATAAAGCTGGTTTTATTACATTTTTTATTTAGGTTTATATATCGTATAAATTCAAAGTACATTTAATAACAATGCTTTATTAACAGTCAACTACAATAATCTGAAATAATTGAGCGTTTATATACATTTTATATCAAAAATAATAGTAGAACAACGTAGAATTTAAGTTAGTTCGAGTAATTGTTTTCACATAAACGTATAATTTAAGTAAATTAAAAGAAAAAAAAATTGCTGTGCTCAGAATTCAAAATTACTATTTATTCAATAAATAATGAACAGTTTGTTATCACATCCTATATCGTGAGGTACTTATTATATTGTTTTGCATATCATAGTAATTCAAAGTTTAAAATGATGATATAATTGTTTATCATTTAACTTAATGGTAATAGTGCTCGATATGTATAGACATTAGATATAAAGTGTATATATTATTAGTAGTAAGACGGTTTTAGTTTTATAATATTGTACAGTTTTAGTCCTCAAAATTAAAATGTACACGACTTTAGTTTCGTGGTAAATTTTTATTTTCAGACGAAACGCAGAATATATCTATGGTTCCTGAATTTATTAGAAAAAAATCATCATACCTGGATTTGCAGGACACTAGCCGATTTGAACGGGATTATGTTAAACCAGTAAAGTCAATTTCTGAAACGTTACATACACACGATATTCTCTATGGTGGTGATCAAAATAAACGTAGGCTTTCCATATTTTACAATAAATCACAAGATTTTATTTAAAAATATGTATTTTAATTTATTATAATATTGATTGATCATGTTTAGACAATGAAAAAATACTTACTAAACACCATTCTGGACAGTACCGGCACAATACCGCATTTATTTGGGACCCTCACCCACAGTATAAATTTACAGCTTTTGGACATTTATTTCATTTGGTGCTATCTCATGATTCAAAATTTGTTTCGCCTGATATCAAAGTAAGTAAATAAAAATATTTTATTTTAAATAATAATTGAATTATTTTGCAATTAAAATAGATTATATTGATTGCACATTTAATAAGTGGTAACTGCCAGCTGGCGAATATCTGGATGCAGTCATGCAGAATTGTTGTACAATTTTTAAAATGATCATTTTTACATATTTTTTTGATTGGTAACGAAATATTCTTATCTTGATAATAATACCCAACCTTATACATCATAATTTAATTATGAAGAACGTATTACAAAAGTACTTATTTTACATTAAATGTAAATTTAACCTAAATTTTAGGTTCTCTTTAAATTTCTATATTAAAATAACTGACACAATAATATTATCAACCAATAAAAAAAATCATCTCAAATATTTAACGTTAGGAAATTATAAAATTACCTACATTAAAAAGTGTTATGAATTTTAATTATGAATATTCAAAATAAGAACAGGAAATTATTGGTATGGTACATTATACTCATAGTATTACACGTATTTTTTTAATGAGAAAGATGTCAAGCTCTATAATATTATAAACAGTATACTTTCGTAAATGTTTAACCACATAATAAATATCGTATTATTTTATCAGATTCTAGTTATTATTTATATCCAACAAAAAAATCATTTCATGTCTGGTCAAATATGTAACAGGATAAACTCTTATATATTTGACCAGACAGTATAAACTTTTTGTAATAGTATATAATTATTTTGATTTAGTAAAAAATGATAATAATAATAATAATAATCATAAAAATTCTAATGTAATATTATTACAGCCATTGGTATAAATATAAGTTTAATACTCCATTGTTCATTATTCATTATTCATTTGAATTTTGTTCGCCTTTTGATAAATAGCAGGATTATAACTATAGTAATATTTTGTATTATTAATGTTATTATTGATATACTTTTAATTTTACTACTTTTTTATTGTAGGCAGTAATGTATTTTCAAATTTGTTATAGAGGGGAGGTAATGACATTCTAAAAAAGAAGTAACAGTATAATAATATAAAAAATACATAAAAGATATGAATTAATAATTATATTATTATATTATTATTATAAACACAAATTATGAGTTATTTACAACCACATAATATAAATTAATGTTCTCTTTCTCTGGACCTCCGTAGCAAGTCATTTATGACTTATGAACTTTTTTTTCTTCTAAAGGAGGTCGAGACCCGGAAACTTTCCCCTTCCTAAAAAAAATTTAAAAATACGTCACTGTTAGTAGGATTATAACAATTTCACATTTTTGTATTCAGAAGTTAATAAAATATTAAATACATAATTTCAGTATATTAATGGAATCGTGGTACTTAGCTCGGTTAAGAATAATATACTTCGAACTATCAATCGGTGTACATGTTAAAATTACATTATTAGTAAAAATATAAAAATAAAAACAAGTTGTTGAATTTGAAAAACCAAAAAGATTTTTTAGTTTCTAAAGTTTAAAGTACGACAATTTTGATTGCCGGGGAGCTATATTAGCGGTCTTATAATGACTTTTTTAACTTGATACTTTTATAATGGCTCTTGTTAAAATATTGGTATAAAATAATTTTAAATTTTTGTGTTACGAATTGTACGTATGTACGAAGGGTATTACGAATTGTAATTTTAATATAAATATATAAGTCATTATAACTTTATACGTGGTACATCATACATATGACTTAGGTACTGAATTACTGGGTATTACATATTGATTTTTATAACTGGAAAGTAAAAACATGTTAATAAACATTATATGTATTTATATTTACAACCTAATTGTAACTTTCATGTGTACTTTGAGACTTAACAATTTAGTTATTACACATTATTTATACACAATATTATATAAACTTTTTAAAGTAGACTAAAGATTGTAAAAATTTTATAATTCTTTTCTTTGAGTTAATATGTATATTATGAAATATGATTGCATTAATTAATTTTTCAAAATATAAGAAAGTATTGTACTATTTTGAACATTATATTATAATTTATTTTAATTTTGATAAATATAATGATATTTCATTACTTTTTCAATATCTGCTCAATTCAGATGGGATCGTGCCATGGATCCAGATAATTGTTTAAAATATTGTGATACCTACTCTTTAGTTTTATAATTTAAGTAGATATACCAAGAGCTGTTTTTAAATATTGTTAACATAAATATGTATGTTATTATGTACAAGTATATTGACTGCTGTGATTTTATTTTCACGTACCTATACGTATATATTTTACTTTACGAGTACATTACAAAGTCTATAACTATTCGATAACATGTTCCATTGTTAGGGAGAATCATGCTGAAAACATTTTACTACTATCCTGTAATTGTATTTTACAAATTCCATGATTTCTGTTCGTACCATGCATCTTTGCACAAACCTGTTGCGAATATAGTATTCCATAAACAATATGTATGTATGCAAGATCGAATTTCGTATTATTATCTACAAATGAAAAAATTCTTTTTTACCACATAATTAATTATTTAGTCTGAAAAGATTCTCAGACGCAGCATGACCAATATAAAGAAAACTAAAAAAATAAATATCACGTTTGTAGTCTTTTTTATAAGACGTTAAATTCTGTTTTCCTTTATACATATTTTATATTAACAAAATTAAACTGGAATAATAAATGTCCTGGATACGCGCAGTATGTATACCTGTGCTGAAAATACGATGAGTGCCCATCCATTGTTGACCCGAAGAACTAAGTTTTTTCTTTTACATCGAATAGCTTTGTAATTTTTTTATTACAATACATCCACTGTCCCCAGCAGCGTGATCTTGTATTTTATTACTTTTGTTATTTAACATTACATATAATGTCCATGTAATCTGTCGTTCGTTCACGTGTGTATTAAATATTATTGCATTGGTTTGTGAAATCATTTATTAATGAAACCCATGGTTTGAATAAATTATTTTTAATTGTTTATTAATTGTAATATTCAATTTAAAAAATCCTATAAATTTTTTTCATAAAAAGTTATTTTTATTGTTTTATACGAATTTGATGGTTTTATCTTAACTTTAATCCTGTTATAAATATAAATACTCTTACATAGAATGTACATTTTTCGTAGAAAATATATTATTTTGTTATTTATTTTTCCAGTTTGTTTTAAATCGATTATTACAGTTCATTAATGTTTATATATTCAAAAAAAAAAAAATTATTTTTTTTAATAATTAAACCAGTACTTTATAATATATATTTATTAATATATAAATATTGATTAAGAATAAACTTAAATACTATGTTTTTAAAACAATTATGTACAGTTAATATTTTAATATTATTATATACATTTTATAAATAAACCTAATAAATCAATAATGTTACATTCTTGAGACAACTAAAATTAATAGTTGTTCTTTATCTAAAAAAAGTAAAATAGATTTGTTTTACTGATTTATATTTAATTTTCACATTAACTGGAAACATTTTATATTTTAAAATAATACAATTTGATTATTCTCAATTATAATTTAGAACTTAAACAGTAATAAAGAATTATTTATAAAGAACCGTGGATATTGGTGAAATGCCAAAATATTATTCTTATACAATAATCGTATAGTACATTTAATATTTTATTTCATTATTTTGGATGAATATATAAAAATTAATAATCTTTAACATATTATTTTTTTTTTTAATAAATAAAACAAATTAAATTATTTTTACATTTATTACAATAGATTACTCATATGAAGCAAAATATCACTTGGCGAGAATCACCCAAAGTAAAAGTGGATGGATGTTTTTATTCAGGAAATGTAATTGGAGAACCAAGTTCAGCCGTGACTGTGAGCCTTTGTAATGGAATTGTAAGTATTTTGAAACTTTATCTAATAGTTTTTCAATCTTTTTTATTTTTGAACATTTAAATAGCTTATTACTTGTATAAATGCCCGTGTACATGTATTATAAAGGTAATAAGGTAATAAAGTCCTGGTTCAAAACAACCCCCACCAGGGCCAAAAAAAAAAAAAAAGAAAATTGTTTTATTATTGATGACGTGTAATATATTCGTAGTTTCATTATTACGCTTTGAACTTAAAATATACAACTATACAAATATTATGTTAATTAAATAATTATATTGATAGATGTTTGAAAAGTTTTGTTAACTATGCTGTTTTTATATTCCAATAGCTATTAATTTACTGTAATGTAAAATTAAACTGTAAATTGGTAAAAAAAGTTGTATTAAATAATATCTATTTATAGCAGTTATTTATCTTATTTATCTGTGCAACGAAAAAAAAAAAATAACGGTTATTTTTGTTCCCCCCCCCCCCCCCAAGAGCAAGATTGAATGTACGCCACTGGTAAGCAGACTTGGGTAAAATACTTTTTAAAAGTATTTCGAATAAATTCGAATACTTACAAAAAATAGTATTCCGAATATGTACTCAAGTACTTCATACAAATTGTAATCCGAATACTTCTAGTTTTCATATTATAAAAATAATAGATATCCACTCATTGGCGGCGCCAGGGACGGGCCAGATAGGGCCATGGCCCTACCTGAAAATAACTGGCCCTACCACTGACCTGACCTTTGACATAATATAATCATTTTTAATAAGCAGAAAATATTAAATAATGATATTTATCTTTTGTTGAAATCTCATTTTTGGTGGCCCTACCTTATAATTGTTGACCTCCCGTTGGCCCTACCTAACAAAAAATCCTGACACCGCTACTGTGTTCACTCAACAAATATTTGAAATTGTAGGTTAAATATATGTTATTTTATTGTATTTTTATATCACATAACTGTTATGGTTTATGGTTTACAACAATAATGAATATCTGATATTAGCTTATACAAGATACGACGGAGAAGTAATAAAATCGTTTAAAAAGAGATGATTTAACGGTATTCGAAATACAGTATTCAGTATACTCGTTATAAGTATTCGAAATACTTAAAAAGTATTCTGAATATTGTAATCAGAATACTACACAAGTCTGATAGTAGGTGTAAAATAAACGTGGTTGGTTAACGATAAAGTAAAATAAAGCAAAATTAGTATCATATGTTACTACCACCTATTACTACTAATGCCTACCTGTTAACTACCCAAAAAACCAAAATGTATTATTCTTATCAGGAGACTGGTCCAGTGATAATCAACATATTTAATTAATTCTTTCAATGTTAATTATTTTAAACATAATTTTCAATAAATTTAAGGTCCTCATCTTGATATTGTTTGAATAAATGAAAATAATTAAAAATATTATAGTGGAATGTGTTTTAAATCCTATGTTTTTGACTTGTCCTTGCACGAGACGAGGTGGCCGAGTGGTTAAGGCGTTGGACTGCTAATCCAATGTGCTCTGCACGCGTGGGTTCGAATCCCATCCTCGTCGGAATCGTGTAAAATTTTTGATCATTTTTTTTTTCTATAAGCCTTTTACAATCAATCACAATAATAATTTGTGAATTATCATTTTTATACAGAGTAAAAGATAATATTAAATAAAACAATAATAATATTTAATAAATAGATAAAATATTTACGGTCTATGAATCTGAGTCTTCTCATAATTATGTAAATGTATGACAATAATAAACATTTAACTTATAGTAATTATTTCATTCAATTTAAACCAAAATATTAAATTATCCTTTAAATTTCATTGAAGGTCGATAGTTAATTTTAAATTTACCTATACATAATAATTTTTAAAAATCCATTAATAATTAAAAGAATTTATAACAATTTAATAACAATTTATAACAATGTCAATGCTTGACAAAAAAAATTATCTAATATATCATATTAAACACTCACACAAATATTCATAATATTTATAGCAAACTAAATTTACTTTTAAGAAGTACAAATTATGCTCCAGAGATTATACTTCGCTAGTACACTAAACATTTGTAATGAACAATTTTTTTTGACATTACATTTGCCCGTAAAAGTTCACTGAAATTATTAATTATTATTTTTATACCAAAAGTAGTAAGAGTACCTTTAAAATATTCATACAAACATCAGAAATCTCTCAAAGTACAATTTGAAGAATGCATATGTCTGAACGGAGATAATCTTAAATATTAAATAAAGACCAAAAAAAAAAAATACGAACATAGTTGTCAAATGTCAAAAATTATTGAGATTTATTGCCTAAGGATCCTTAATAGCTTAATGAAATATAGTTTACATTTTATTTTCAACGATATTTCTAGGATATACATTTTCACAATAGCAATACAAATTTCAAAATTTGCATAAAATTCACAAGCCATAAAACATAAAGTTATAAAAAAAATGGAAAATAAATTTTATTGACATTGTATATATAACATTGTATTCAATACACGCTAGGGCGTAGCTAAAGGGAGACAGGGGTATGTTCCCTCCTTTTTCCACAGTTAACTAATATATTAATTTTAACGCAATTTTAAATTTATCCATGTATATAACTGACCCAACATTTAAACTGCTTATAACTAGGGCCCGGATTTCAATGCAAAGTGCATATTTTTTTGGTCGATCATAAACAATGCTGTTTAACATAATTTGTTTTATGTAATGAGGGTTTCAAAACTACAAATTTTATTTTGCATTTTTTTGCATATTTCGACGTTTTTTCATTTTTAGAGCATTTTTTATATTATTGGGTTATTTTGTTAATTTTTATTGCATATTTGTTCGATATACTAAACAAATTTAGCCTATTTAAAATAAAACGAAGAAACAAATTATTTTCTTGATATTTAAATAGGTTTATCGAGTTTTTCCAAACACATTGTCAATCTTTATTAAATAAACAATGTTTTCTATTCAGTTTTTATATTATCTTAATTTATTATTGACTATGGAACGTCACCAGTATTCAGTCAAATAACGAATAATCAGCTAGTTCGTATTACCTCGCAGACGTTGCTCGTATTACGTATGAATGTGATGTTAATGTATTAAATAGTGTGTTAAATAATGCCCAAAGTAAAAAAAATTATGTCATTTTTAAAGTAATTTTTGTGGTAAAATGCATTTTTTAAGGACATTTTTTACTATTTTTTAGTGCATATTTGTATGATTTTAAGTGCATTTAAATCCGGGCCCTACTTATAACTTTTTAAATTTAGGTTTTTGTTGCACTTTTTTTTAAATGATACCCTAAGTACGCAAATGATGATTTCTTACTTAATGACCAAATTTTTTTTTATCAAATACTTATTTTAATTTAATTTTTTTAAAACAATACAATTTTACATAAATATTTTTAATGTATCATGATTTTTTTTTGTATTTACCTCGTGAATTATAATTAAAGATCATAAAACAAGATGAAAAATTTGAAATGTGTGAAAATTTAAAAAATTCACTAAATAAATAACACCAAACTTGGTGTTTGAAGCCAATTGAAAATTGGTTGCCCCCTCCTGTTGAAATTTTTAGCTACGCCCTTGTGTACACAAAAAGTGTTATATCTACTTTACACGGATTCAATTTTTTCATCCAAGAGTGTATACACATATGGTGTACCATACGAATATTATTTTGGTGTAGATTTACGTTTACCATTAAAAAGTTTGATTACGAACGTTACTTCAGATATGTTATATCCTAATAATTCTGTAATTAATTAAATTTTTTCTTTGTAAGCATAATTATAATTTATATTTAATCATTCATAATTTTTTTCGTTTTACATTACTGTTATACTACATCATACGTACCTATAAGTGCAATTTAAAAAAATAATTCCTATTTACTCTTAAAAAACCATTTTAGTTTTTAATTTAATTCTTGAATAATTTATATGTACTTACTACTTTTTAATATAATTGGTTTTCGTGTATATTAATAAAATGTCATTATACGTTCACTTGTTTGAAAAGTTCTATGAACAATCAGTACAATCAGTAGCATGGTTAATATTTTCGGACAATCGTAAATTGCACCCAGTATTTTTCTGGTACAAATTTCTGTATAGTAAATTGCACCCAATAGAAATATTATTTTTATGATAGTCATTTAGCTTTAACCCAGGGGCGTATTTAGGGGGAGGGGGTTATTTGAGTGTTATAACCCCCCCCCCC